TGTAAATAAAAAATGTTTTTAATTATATAGTCATTTTAAAAATTGAAAATTTTTCATTAAAAAAAATTTTTTTTTTTAATTATATGCTACTTCACATAAAGGACATGTTTAATATCTTTACACAAATATATTACAGCCCCGTGGATATATAAAAATCCACTAACCTTAATTTTGACATTGTATCTAACGTTAATTACATTATTTATTCGAACCTGAAAATGTACCAAGGCGTACACGTAAAGGGAAAATAACAAATAGAACAATACACTAATTATATTGACTGTTATATTCAATATGCTGAAATGTACGTAACGGTCAGATTTAATCAACAAAAATGCCATAGTTAATACTATTGAGGAATGACAACAGACAAAATAAATTTAAGTATTAAAAATAATACTTTAACTATGAATACTAACTATTATCTGCCCTCAACGATAACAAAAATTTATGAAGTATTACGAATATCGCCTACTATTAAAATAAATGATTAATCTTTCACGAGTTTCTTTGTTGAGTTTACGTTAATACATACTTCAAATATTACTAACAAAATTAATTATTAAAAAAAAATAAAACTAAATACAAATACAAATTATAAAATTTTTAATTTTTGTTTGAAAAGTTGAATTTATAAAAATAATTAATTTCATAAAATGGTTATTATTTATAAGATATATATTTATAAGTATTATGTGAATAGTTATTTCACAATTAAATATTATCTATCATAGAATTATTTTTAAGCAGCTGTAAAATATCTTAACATAAAAAGACATTATTACATAATAATTCATGTTAGGAAATAATCAAGACGATAATGCAAAAATAAAATTAGACGGAAGAGATTAAAACAATATTTTACTAAAATACTTTTTTTAAGGAAAGCATATTGATATTTTAATTTATTTAATACGTAAAAAGATATCCATACTAATACAGATTTATATAATTGCTATTTTAAGGACATCGACGGACAATAAATAAGCTTAATTGCTATCTCAACCAACAAGTAATTTCACTTCACGATATTTTTTATCTTAAGCTTGTCGATAAAATAAGTCTGTGTATTAATTTTCAAACAATAGTCATTCTGATAAGTAAACCACATATTAAAACTACTTAACAATCATCAAAATGAACATCAAGTCTCAAATACATAAAAACTCTTCCATTGTCATCGACATGAATTATCACAAACGCTGACCAAACATAATATACCCATTAAGCACGTAAATGGCAATTCGCATGTCTCACCTAAACACTATTATCAATGACTTTAAATGGTCAAAGTAGCTGTTTTAAAATCAATATTGTTGAACGGCAACTGATAAACAATAGCCAAAATTATACTTCCACTACACGTTCCAAGTGTTGCAAGTTTTCTTAAATATGCTTACAATATAGTAATAGTAATTTATAATATAATAACACATAATATAAAATCACACATACGGAAAAAACCGAACCAAGCACCGAAACCGAGACTATAGACTTAAGTACCTAATCAGATTTTAATGATACAGCGAAATGCTACACACAAAACCATTGTTAACTTATTATATTTTATTATTTTCATTTTATGATGGGAAAAAAGTATACCATAACATCTTAGCAAAAGTTAAAGTAGATATTATCATTACGAAAGTTAAACTGTAATAATTGCACGTTCAACAAATGAGTCACAATGAAAGTGAACGGATTATTGCATGAATCATACAAAAAACAAACATCAAAGATACTAGAATGTTTAACAAAGCCTAGTTTGCGAGTGTTCCAAAATCAGTTTTATAATTATAGGTCATAAATCATAACAATTTATGACTCAGTATCTGTAGTGTTATTCATTCGATGGACATTAATTAACGCGTTTAAAAAAAAATTCGCCATTATAACTAAATGAGAAATCATTAATATAATATAAATTGTGCAATGAAATAACTCTCAACTTATGCAATTGAAAATAATAACAGCACGTCAGGATGATATAAAAATTTTTAATCTAAAACAATGTTGAGAAAATGTTAATTTGTCTGCTGATAGTTTAAAGCAAATGAAGCCACATGGATAAGTTATCACAAAAGAAAAACCATTCAATTATTGTCACATCAATAAACAGAAATTTTGTGAAACATATATTCATAAAATTTTATGTGCAGTGCGATTGAACTCAATACGCCAAACATTTTTTAGTACATTTTAGTGCATAAGAACAACAGTTAGAAACAGGCATAACATTTAACGTCTTGACGTCCTAATCAAAGTTCCTAAACTTGTTACTATTTTTGTGTATCCAGTGCATTAAACACACACTGTAATATAAACTTTAACAATCAACTAGTCTAGAGTAATTTAACAATGAAACTGCAAGTCAAATCAAATAAATTTTTCTTACGTACAATAAATAGGGCAATTTAAAATTCTAATAGTATAACTAAAAAAATATAAATATATTTCGCAGTATTCAATATTATAGAATAATTAAAAAATTATACCATAAAAAACAAACATTACCGCTGTTTACAAATAAGATATATATGTATAGATATTGTATATCAATTAAATCTTTTGTTTCTTTTACATATTTTATGATATTTTTTTATCTATTATTATTTTGCTTATAGTATAAAACAAAAACGTTTTATTAAGACTAAATATTTCACTAAACAAATCACACTGATAGAATTTACACCCTCTTACTTAATTCTAGTATTCATATATTAAAACTAACACATCTAAAAACTTAACTATTACTATCAAATATCTTAATGATAATATTTTCAATATCCAAAAATAAAGAAAATATTAAAAGGAATAAACAATGAGAACTTATAAGTTTAAATATAGTAACTATGATCAGTAACCACAAAACACCATTGTGGGGCCCTTCACCCACCAGTTCACTTTATGGATAGTTACAGAGCACGCTTCCTGTGTTTGCCAATGGTGGAAAACACTGATAGTATCAATCACGTTTCGAGGACATCCTGTCAATTAGGATTCTATTGGCTTCATAAAATGGTAACCACCAGTTAAAGTTGATTATAATTAAAATTACACACTAAAAGTTAATAGATTTTCACAAAAAATAATATCGTAATAAATTAACCGAAAACATTCCACAAATGCAATGCATTTTGAATTTTTGTTCAAAATGTGCAACAACAAAGTGGCCAACATAAATTATTATTTATTGAGGAAAATTGAAACCGATAAAGTCTAGTTAAAAATACACGCAAAATATGTCATTCGACACGTTTAGGGATACAGTGATTTATTACAGTATTGGATGACCGATAATATAGGTTGTCTAAGGATAAAAAACATTGCACTTGTCTGTGAAATGATAAAAATAACAATGAATTCACGTCACGCTGTCGATGTTATTACGATTGAAAAGCTTTAGCATGCCAACGATGTAGTTTCGATAAAATGGCGAAAAACGATCCACTACAGAAACCCGAGAGTCAAGACCGGCGTTTTGACGGCATAACAGAAGGTTAAGAGTGGATACAGCACAGAATATAAAAGAAAAACTACAATGCAAATGATGCGTGACCAATTATAATCGAAACTTGTCGTCGGAGGGACCTTGAAAGTACATAGTTTTCTCATGATGTCTTTAAAATAATTTAACATCATAAAACTTAACTGGGTCGTCAAAACTATTGAGGTACAAATCATCCATTAATACAATTTTATAAAAACAGTAACAACAAAATCATTAATACATACCATCAAAAATAATTTCAGTATATTACAATATTTTAAGTTAATATGCAAATAAGTCAACATTATTCGAAAATCTAAAACTGTTATTAATAATCTAATGTCTTATTAAATAATCTCTTATCACATATATCATAATTTTTTTGAAATAAAATAAACTAAAATTTAAGTCGTATAACTAGAAGAGCAATTTATTCAACTTGCCAGGGACATCAATTATTATAATTGTTAATTGTAGGGTAAAGTTTAACTCGTGTTTCAAGTAGAAAAAATATTTACATATGGTACAAAATAAATAAAAAATATTTATAAAGAACGCATCTTGTACAAAAATTGATTATTTGTAAGTAAAATTGGCAAAATAGAAATGATACATTTTAATGTATTACTTATAAAATTACCAAGAAATAAACATAATATTGTGCCTTAAGTACATTTTTTAGTAACACCTAAATTAAAATCAATGGATATGTACCGTAAGTGGGTAGTATCTTAGATAGGAAATACAAACATATTTATTTGGTATACCTAACAACTAATAATCAAAAAGATGAATTTAACAATATTTCTTGACAAATATCGATTATACTATTACATTAGAAATATTCGGACGAAAACTCTTAAATACTAACTTTGGCATTAACCTTCGATCCCGAGTACATACTTACGAAGACAACAATGCACTGAGGAAAACAATGTTAAGTAGGAGAAAATTATTGTAGTCCGTGTCCTTTTTCACGACTATTATAACGCATAGAAATACCGGTGGACTCAGGATTTTGCACTTCTCTAAACGAAGGGCGACGCTCACAGAGACACGATTGAAAACAATCAAGGACATAGCAAGGTTAAATTGGTAAAAACTTACTCTATAACAAATCTTTTTAAAACCACAAATTCTTCGAACACATCGACCGCGCATTAATTAACAAATAAATAACTAAACCGAGGTCGCCCCGAAAATAAAAGTAAATTAAATAAATTATAAAAGTATCGATTTTTATAGTATAGGGTAAGACCCTCTTTGACGATTGATACATAGTCTTTTATTATCCGGACATAACAATTTCAAATACAACGGATATAAGGCCAAAACTGGCTATTTGTCTTTTATGTTCAGCCACTGACATTTGACTATAGGGGCCGTCTCCTTTTATATTTCGACATTTATATGATTCTCTTCAACTGTGCGAAACACCCTCTTCTTATGTGTGAATAAAATGTATAACATTGTAGTACGCTACAACTATAAGTGTATATGTTTCACTCACCATCAGTCTCCATTAATTCTTCATACAAAGTATCAGCAATATCATCAATATCCACATGATCCCATAATCCGTCACTTCCTAATACCAAAAATTCTTCATTACCATCCAGTACCAAACACCTCATCTCTGGTACAGCAGAAATATAAGGCTTGTACCTGACATCACCTAATTATTAAGTAACAAATAAAACATTTTGAACAATTAGGAATAAAAAATTATAATTAATTATAAAGAAAAAATACATTTCATAAGAAATTATTTAAATTTCACTAATTTTCTAAATGAAATTTTGTTTATTTATTCAAATTTATAAAAAAAAAAAAAAAAATTGAAACAAATAATTATTTTGAAAAATGAATTTTTAAAAAAAACTTTTCCAGCAATATAACAAAACTAGTGATTATCAATAGATAGAATGCTGTTTTCAGAATTTTGATTGCATTAATAGTTTTGTAACATCATTGAAACAATAACAGGTTGTTTTTTAATAAAAAATAGCGCCTTAAAAAAATATTATTAGAAAACATTTTGTAAAGAAGATAATTATCACAAATAAAATTATATAAGCCCATTTTAGTTAAGAGTAAATAATTATTTAATAACTAATAAAAATATTATCTTCTTTGAGAACATAGAAATGAATTATATAATAATTATTAAATATTCAATTATAATTATCAGTAAATATTATTAATTTTAGAGAATTTACTTACCAATAGCTCTTGAAACAGATAGTTGACCATCAACTCTATAAATACCCTGACAATCTATAACTATTCCTCCCTCTGTAGCTATTCTTTGTGCTTCATCCTAAACATTAAAGTAAATTTATATTTGTCTTGTAGTCATTTTAAACAATAACTATAATTATAAAAATATAATATAAATTGAATTACCATAAGATAATAATGGAGAGATCAAGTTAGAGAGGATTTTAAGACGTTAATTGAAAAAGATGGAAAATTATTAGAAATAGATAGTGAAGGATGGAGAAGCATTGTGGAAGCAGCCATTTAAGCCTAGAATTAATCTAAAAATAAAAAAATAATATATTGAATAAATTACTTAATTAAAAATAACTAACCTTATTATTTTTAATTAGAAATTTTAACTGATTATAAGACAGACAATACAGAATATTAATGGCCTGCTTATATTATTTTTTTTGTTACAAGTAAAGGTACTTTAGATAACTTTGTGATAATCAGCCTAATTTAAAAAAATATTAACACGGCTGCTGGGGATTGACGGCCGGTTATAGAAAGTGTAAGGAAATCATGTGAAAAAAAGAGGCACGGTACGGGATTAGAACCCGCGACCCAAGGCGTCGTATAGACAAACCTTACCACTAGGCCACCGTGCACTTATGATTCAGATCCCGATACACTTTAATTTAGGTTGATAACGTGATGTGCGGCTGAGGGAAACACGTTACCGTGTCAATATTTTGTAGAATAGTTCAATTTTTATTTATTAGCTCTGATCATTTAACCTTTAATCAATTAGTTAAGTTCAAAATACTAAAACTAATATTTTAATCAAATAATTAAAAAATGATAAAAAATTATTTTTATAGAAATTTTGTTTACAAAGATATTTACATTGAGTTAATATTCTTTGACTGATCCTCTAACTTTTTAAGGATACAAAAATAATAATAATAATAATAATATATATAATTAAATTTAAAAAAAATATTTGTGTAACATTCTTTATGTAAATTTTTTATTATCTCAATTTTATAAAATTATGTAGAATAAAAACAAAGAGTTAGTAAAGCACTCACGTGTCTTTGTGGAACATGTTTATTTACTAGAGATAACGGTGTACTGTTTTTCCAAAGGGTGGCTAATGAATCTCCCACCCAAGCTATGTATATTTTCTTTTCTTGAAGTCTGTGTAAGACACATACTGCCGTTGTACCGCTTACTAAATTCTAAAAGTTATCAATAAAAAACACCAGTTAAAATAAAAAACAAAACTTGAACGAATAATAATCATACATATTTGTCGGTTTTACAAGAAAACATTTTGTCTGTGGTATTGAATGCATCAAAAAATGCATGTTCTGGATCTGAGGGATAATATTTTGATTGTACAAGAAACTGATACAAATATATTGAGCTATAAACAGCTGCATCATGACCATTATGTCCATCATACACAGCATAAAATGATGCTTCACCTATGGAGTTCTAAAAACAAAGAGTGAAAATAGATAATACATGGATTATTCACACATTATACTAATAGCATAAAAAACAAGTAACCTAATATTAGTTTAAAATATTTTATTATTATTTATAAAAGTTGTTTACTATAGAACAAGTAAAAACTATACTTTTTGTTAAATAAAGAAACCTATAAATATACACAAATATCTTCAATGTTAAAAAATAAAATTCTAACTAAATACAATTATATAAGTTTTTTTTAAATATAATTGATGTAATTAATACTTTTTATAAGCACGTGTGACATTTTAATATTCATGACTAAATAGAAAGATCAAAATAAAATGATTTTAAATTCTTGACCAATTTTTTTTTTTAATTTAATTAATGCAATAAATATATCCTGTGGAAAGGAATAAGAATATTTCCAACCCCCCTCTGCTAGTCAAAAGAGGCGACTAATAAAGATCTGTCAGATGACAGCTGGTGAAAAATTTTGTCATAAAGTATGAGGGGTCCTGTACAGAACTTAGGCAGATTGTCCCATCAAAGATGTACGCAAGAACAACAGGTGAAATTAAATAGAGTAGTTAGAGATGGAGAAGGCCTAAAGAATAGATTTTGATACCAGCTGGACAACTTCTGCAGTAGCTGTTTCACCAATCACATATAAAGGCCCACCCAACGCTTGTAGTGTCAACGGTGCAGAGACATCATCACTCAACTTTAGGTTAGACTCATGTATAGGAGATAAAGATAAATACAAAGTAATAATAGGTACATGGAATGTTAGAACATTAACTGGTAGAAGTATTGAAGAAAATAAAAGTTTATATTTGTTGTGTGCAGGAAACTAAGTGTAAGAGAGAGAAAGCAAAGGAAATAAGTGATGGTTATAAAATAATATACTCAGTATATTCTAGTTAATACTTATTTTAGAAAGAGAGAAGAAAATTATACATCTTATAAAAATGGGATTAATAGATCAAAGATTAATTATTATATGTGGAGGAGAAAGAGTAAAGCAAATAAAAAATTGTAAAGTTATCCCAGGTGAGAGTATTACTACTCAAAATAGAATGATGGTAATGCAGTTGTGGTGTAGGAAAAAGAGAATACAAAAACAGAAAAAATACAGAAGGAGAATCGGGGATCTGGCGATGGAAATTGAAAGGGGAAAAAGAAAAAGTTTTTAAATATAGTAAAAAAAAGTATGGTGTGGAATATTAGAGAAGACATAAATGATGTGTGGAATAGATTTGCTAGTTGCGTAATGAATACTGCAAAGGAGATTATTGGTAAGAGTAGGTGTAGAAAGCCAGGAAACAAGGAAATCTGGTGGTGGAATGAGGACGTTCAGAAAATTATAGAGTAAGAAAAAGCAGTTTGAAGTGATAGAAAAACAAAGAAGAGAAGCATAAACTCTTGTGTAAAGAAGGCAAGTGAGTGGTAAGTGAGGCAAATTTTCAGAGATATAATGAATTGGATAAACTAGGAACAAAAGAAGATGAAAAAGAAGTCTATAGACTTGCAAAAGTAAGAGAAAGACAGTTTAAAAATTATCACTATGTATGGTGTATAAAAAGTGATGATTAGAGAGTGCTAATGAGCGATGATGATGTAAAAAAAAGGTAGAAATAGTATTTTGAAAAATTATTGAATGAAGAGTATCCAAGAGAGACATTAGAGGATATCTCATGGAACGAGGGACTTCATAGATTCGTAGATTTCATTGGTGAAAAAGAGATATGAGGGGTTGTGACATCAATTTAAAAAAATAAAGCAGTAGGATCGTATGAAATAGTGAATGAAGTGCATAGATTATATGGAAAATACATTACTAAGCTCTACCCTTAAAAAAAACATTCAAGGATATCCGGAAATCATAAAATAAAATCAAATATACATAGAATAATGTTTTATGAATGATTGAAAATGCATTTTAATGAATTTATATATAAAATCAATTTCAATTAGCTCATTAATTTACATTCCATTTGTATATTTACTTCTTGATCAAATAACGTATGTAGATATGGAACAACTGATATGTAATCTTCCATTGTACGTCGAGTATTTTTTAAAACAAACGAAGACCACCAAATTGAAGAATTTAATCTAGGATGTTTTTCTATGATTATAGAACCATCATTCAAGCATACATCATTTAGTTTTTTAATTACTTGTTGCATCAACCATAGTGATTGGTAATCTTAAAAACAAATTATAATTGCAATGAGAAAAAAGTAATATAGTAAAATTAAGTAGAATGCAATTAACACTTAAATACTTTACCTTTTTTTTCGGATCTGTACCCAAATTCTTCAGGTTGTACTGTCCATGGAACTCTTAATTCATTTATAACTTTTTGTGTCAAACGTACAATTAAATCCATAGGACACTGTCTGTTAGTTAAAGATATAAGATTAATTTAATCTTTATAAATGAAATAACTTAATTTGAATTTTTTTTTTTTTAATCATTTAATGAAAAAATCAAATTCATTCATTATCAATAAAAATTAAATTAATTTATAAGAAAAAAAAATCAAAGATTAATTGACCATCACAAAACATTCAAATCTTACCGATCTTTTAGGTACTGATTACACCAGTCAGCAGCTGCTCCAGCTAATTCACTTAATTCTAAGTCGAATCTTGGCAACTTTACTGGCAGTTGTTCACTTTTTACTGTATTAACATAATTTTGAAAGAATAATTCCCAACTATTATCCATTGTTATTTTGTTTTCTGTACAAAATATAGTATTAATACTATATTTTTACGTTAACATATTTTAATTATTAAAATATTTGTACACCAAAATCAAATATCTTAAAAGAAATTAGGTTTGATTCAGTTTTAATACATTATCATTAAAAAATACCAGTTTTGCGGCAAATTAATAACATATACATAATTCCTATGCTAAAAACAGTGTATCCAACGTAAATAATAATTTTTATTAATTGTAAAATGTTACTTCATAATTGTTAAGAAATAATATATATTTCATCAAATTTTTGAAATAATTGATCAATATTCCTAAATGTTTTAATACATATTTTATTTTAATCATTTAAAATATCATTTTTTGTTGTTAACAAGAACCACCTGTTCATTATCACGACCTTTTGCTTAAGTTATCAAATTACAAAAAGCCTGAGTGAGACACTCGTGATTTTTTTAAGGGTCTACTAATAAACCAAGTCGGTTTTCAGATGTAAATATTGTTATTATGTTATGTTAAAAAACTTAAATTAATTTCCGTACACGTAAGCTAAAATGTTGTTTATAGTATTTAAATATAGATGATAACTAAATATTAACTACCTAATACGGCATAATGAAATTAATACACAAGGATATTGAAAAAGATGGCAAAGGGTTTGTATAGATTTTTTGTTTTCATATCTTAACTGTTTAACTATCCGTTAAAAATGATGTAATTAAAAAAATTACAGAACAGTGGTTCTTATACCGGAAGAAGCTGAAGATATGTGGCAAGCATACAACATAATTAGACAAGGAGACCATGTTCGAGCTTCAACAATTAGGTTATACATTTTTTTAAGATTTAATGTCTTTTTACATTTAGCAATTTTTTATTCTTTATCTAAAACATTTTTAAAAATTAATTTTACTATTTTAGAAAAGTTCAGAATGAATCAGCCACAGGATCTTCAACTAGCCAACGTGTAAGAACTACTTTAACAGTTAGTGTAGAAGCCGTAGATTTTGATACACAAGCTTGTCTACTACGTTTAAAAGGCAGAAATATTGAAGAGAATGATTTTGTAAAAGTAATAGAATGTTTTATTTAACTTATATCTAATTCGTATAAACATGATTTATTTTTTATGCATACTTATATAAATAATTATTTAAATAAAATTGTTCTTTCCTTGGCAATGATTCCCAAAAAAAAAAAATAGATATTAATTTTACAATGATGTGTATATTTATATTTTTGTATCTGACACTTTTTTCTCAGCTCACTGGACCGATTTCAAAAGATTAAAAGTCTTATCTAGTTGAAGACATTACCCTCAAAAATTGAAAATATTTTTATGGTTCCCTGTAAATAGTGGAAATATCCTAAAAATATACGATTTATAAAAGCTCTAAATTTAGTCATTTTTTATACTTTTTTTTCTTAGGCTGTCTTAATTTTTTGAAAAATGAACGAATCAAAATAATTTTTTTGTTAATCTGACTACCTGTCCATAGGGGAGATTTAAAATAATAACTTTTGCACACAAATTAAACTTTTTCAACTGAATTTTTGAAATTGTTCTGGAAGTACATTGAAATTCAAACATATGTTAGATTAAAGATTATGTAATATACTAAAAATTAAAAAAAAAAAAAATTATTCCGACACCTTTTTTTTGTGTGCAAATGGCTATGCTGTTTTTTTTTTTTTTTTTTAAATACCTTACAAGGGTTTGCCATAGTAATGAATCTACCAATTTTTATAAAAGTTAGATGAATCTACCTTACACTAATTATAAATTTAAGCTTATTTTATTATTTTGCCTCCTCAAAGTTAAGAAAACAACTTTGAATTTTTGAATTAGCTTACATTGTTATTTTTAACTACAATTCATGTAATGCTTGGTGGCTGCGTCAAATATTTTACAGTAATACACACTTGTGGTATGAGATACAAATCCGGCTTGTGCAATAAAACTTTTTTTGCATTTTTTTCTTAATTCTTTTTGGAATGGAGAAAAGTTCAAAGTTCATTTTATTTTTATCTCATTTAGATTGAATAACTTCAATCGCCTCATCACTGTAGTCTCCATTCGTAAGAAAGAATTTTTTTATTCATAATAAAATATTTTACTATATGGTTTTTTTTTGTGTCTGTCATTCATTTTTCTCAGCTCTCACTTAACCAATTTTAATGGTCAATACGTCAAAAAACACAATTTTAATCTTGTTGAACTTATAATCACTAAATATTAGAAAAAAAAAAAACCTTAATTTTAGAAATGTTGACAAATTTCTCGAAATTACTCTACAATAAAAAATGGTCACTTCAAAATAATTTTTTAAATTAAATATCAATACAAATAATAAAAGTATAAAATTTGTTTTTATACTGATTTATACTGTAAAATCATATTGCTAAAATGAAATATTTTTTAATGATAATAGACTAATATATACTTTACTTAACCAAATATTTTTGCTGATTTCAAGTCATTACATTTTTTCTATCACCTCTTTTGATATTATTATTAATTAGAAAGCAAGTGTTTGCACATTAAATTTAAAAATAAATTTTATTAAGTTGTTTTTGATTTTTAATATGTTAAAAGTAATTCATACAATATGATAGTAAGGTATTTTAAAATGAAATGTTCTAAATTTAATATAAGGTATTCATGACAATGTGTTTGATAAGTAGTCTCTACAGTTTTTGCCCAATGGTTTCAGTTTGTAAGGTAAAAATGTATAAGAATTTGAGATAAATTATAGTATATTTTGAATTAGTTTATTGTTGAAATTATTAATTTTAAGTGAGCAGAGAGCACTAAGGGAATCACAATATTATAGCTACTTATTAATTTAGTGTAAAGTGATACTTTATACAGAGCATATACTTCTGCTGTATAATATACATAATTAGCATATATTGTATGCTGTTAAAGTTTTTAATTTAAATTTATAGAAAGAGTTATTAACAACGAAGGCTCAACCCACTACATCAATGGTTTTATAAGCTTTAGTGTTGGTTAGTATGTTATTCATCAAAATTATTTTAAATGATATCCGAAAATTTTTATGGAACTATTGTATATAGGGTTGTATTTTTGTTACATTCCGGTAGTTTAAAGTTAATTTTTGTTTCCCAAAGTCGAGGAAGCTTATAAACAAATTTATTTAAGTATGTCTTTGCTATAGCTTATTCTGTACTTAGAATTTTTTAAATTTATTTATAGTTCATTGCTTGATTTTTCTATATATATTTCTAATTGTGTTTTGAAATATATTTGCAGAGAGATATTTATGTTTTATTACATATTTCAGTGTTTCTTTTTCTCATTATCTGAAGAGTGATTTTGTCAGCATAGCGTAGGATGTTGTCAATGGGGCTTGACCAAAAGGTTCCTATTTCGAATCTGATATTTTGATTGTGAGTTGGATATATTATTTTCATTTTTTTTCTTTGCTGAGTTATATATATTTTATTCATAGTAGATAAGAGAAAAATGAGGGATTTGCATATCAATATAACATTATTGACTTCATACTAAGTGTTATGTAATATAATTTTTATGATTTTGATCTTGTCAGAACAAGCTATTTTATTGTTCGTAAGTCTAGGATATGCAAGTGTGTTTATCAAATGTCAGGTCAAGTATTTTAACATTGATAAATTAATTTTGACATCATTAAAAGTTATACTTGGAGAGGTAATATAGTATTTTAAAAATATATAATGCCTTGTATTTTAGTCAATGAACAGTTGAAAACAAAAGTGTTTGTCTTTTTTGAAAGAGATTTAAGTGATTGTTGAAGAAGTTTGGTAATGGTATTTATTTTAATATCACAACAGTATATGCTACAGTAATCAGCAAAAAGTGCATTTTCAGTTGAGAAGTGATCAGAGCAGGTATTTTCTATCTTTACTAAAAAGATATAGCATAGAGGAAATTTGGTATAAAATTGATTTTTGAAAGTGACAATTGATTTTCCATTTTTGGAGTATGTTCAATACTCTTTCTTTTCATACAGTCTCATATACTTTATGTATTTCCAAGACATTTTAAATATTAATACAATTATATTATATTATTTTTAATAAAGAATTAATTCATAAATGATTTTATTTTTATCAAGATGGGTGCATACCATACTTTAGATTTAGAATTAAATAGAAAATTTTCATTACTCAAAGAAGAATGGGATTCTATAGATTTGGAAAGAATTGAAATGGCTATTGATCCTACTCAAGTAATGCATTTTCATTATTTTTATGTTGTCAATCACCTATAATAGTTATTTACTTTTAGACAGCTGATGTAGCTGCTGTTATTATGCAAGAAGGATTAGCACATGTATGCTTAATTTCAGGTAGTCGTACTATAGTTAGAGCTAAAATTGACCAAAATATACCAAGAAAACGAAAAGGCGATGTCAAACAACATGAAAAAGTTATACAAATAGTCAAATAAAAACATTTCAATAAATTTATACAGTTTTGTACTTTAGGGAATACTAAAATTTTTTGAGCTGGTTCTGCAAGCCACAGTACGTCATATTAAATTTGATGTAGTGAAGTGTATTATAATTGCAAGTCCAGGATTTGTTCGTGATCAGTTTTATGAATATATGCTACAAGAAGCTGTTAAAATGGATAATAAAATAATCCTTGAAAATAAATCAAAATTTATTACTGCCCATTCATCAAGCGGATTTAAACACTCACTTAAAGGTTTTTTTAAATATTATATTTCAAAATTTTAACATTTTATAAGTATTGATTTTAAAATTTTGTAGAAGTACTCTCTAATCCATCAATTTCTTCTAAGCTAGAAGATACTAAAGCCTTGGGTGAATTAAAAGTACTTGAAAATTTCTACAAAATGTTGCAAACAGAATCAACCAGAGCTTTTTATGGCATTAATCATGTTGAAAAAGCTAATGAAGCAATGGCAATAGAAACTTTATTAATTATAGATAGTCTTTTCCGGTATTTGGGAAAATTATGCTACTTTATTTTGTAATTTATAATGGAATATTTTTTTAGGAGTCAAAACATTGAAGAACGTAAACGTTATGTCAAACTAGTAGATAGTGTTCGAGAATCAGGTGGTGATGCCAAAATATTTTCTAGTTTACATGTTACTGGAGAACGTAAGTGGTATTATTAATGAATAAATTATTTTGTTGGCTCAATATTTTTTAATTCTCTAGTCAAGAATCACTATCATAATTTCATTACTCAAATCTATAAAGTTATATAGATAAAAGTATATACTTAATTTAAATAAAAAATACCCTGCACAGTAGGGTTGGTTTAAAGTGAGAACAATTATAAGTTAAAAAAGTGTTAGACAAAAATGAAATTTATATATAACTTACAAAACAAATTTAATTGAATAAGTAACAGAAGCTTTAATTTAACATTTCTTTGGTGTTCAAAGTATTTTCTGAACATTTTCAAAACTTAAGTTGAAAAAGTGAACTTTTTGTGCAAAATTTGCTATTTTCAATAACCCATTGTAGGGAGCTATATTGTTGGATTTTCAAAAAGTTTATACTATATAAAAGGAAAATACTTAGATATTTATATTAAAAAAATTTGTTTTCATTCATTCAATTTTCAAAAAGTTAAGTGAAGATTAAGATTAACAAAAAGTATATACCTAAAGAAAAGGAAATATCTATGATATTTATAAAAAAAACCCAGCACAGGGGGGTCGCGGCACAGTGGTGGCGTGGTATAGATGGATCAAGTTTAATGATATCTGACAGTGATTAAAATCACTATAAAAAAAAAACGCTTCGATGCAAATCTTTAGATAGTGTTTAATTTTAAAAAATTGGTGGATTATTCCAAAAGCTACATGATCTGCTAGTTCATTATTAATATCCTAATTAAGATAAAGTATGTCGAATGAAAAAGGGATTATTAAAAAATATTATTTCTCATAAAAAAATAATGTTGATCCATACACTTTTCAATAAGTCATAGCATTATAAAGTTAAAAATGTAAAACATAAAATCGAGAATTTTCACACAATAATAGCATTTGGTTACCATTTTCACCGTGAAGACAAAATAAAGTCAGAAATTTTTTTTTTACATAATAAAGAACATTACATTAGCTTTAATTTAAGATATATATAAAAGTGTCAGACTTTCCGGAACACTTTCAAAATTTAAGTTGAAAAAGTTCTACTTTCTACATGCATTTTTTAGATTTGAACCCCCTCGTATATAGGGAAATGGTCCGATTTAAAAAAAACAGTATGTCAAATGAAAGATGTATATGAATACTACTCCTCATGAAAAAATTGTACTGTTCCATACATTTTTCAAAAAGTTATAGCATAATAAAGTTAAAAATGTAAAATACAAAATCGAAAATTTTCACACAAAAATAGTTCTGTTTTTACCATGAAGATAAAATAAAGTCCGAAATTTTTTTTTACCATAATAAAGTATATCACATAAGCTTTAATTTAATATATATATAAAAGTGTCAGACTTTCCGGAACACTTTCAAAATTTAAGTTGAAAAAGTTCTACTTTCTACATGCATTTTTTAGATTTGAACCCCCTCGTATATAGGGAAATGGTCCGATTTAAAAAAAACAGTATGTCAAATGAAAGATGTATATGAATACTACTCCTCATGAAAAAATTGTACTGTTCCATACATTTTTCAAAAAGTTATAGCATAATAAAGTTAAAAATGTAAAATACAAAATCGAAAATTTTCACACAAAAATAGCATTTGGTAGCCATTTTCACCCTGAAGATAAAATAAAGTCCAAAATTTTTTTTTTTCATGATAAAGTATATTACATTAGCTTTAATTTAAGATATATATAAAAGTGTCAGACTTTCCGGAACACTTTCAAAAGTTAAGTTGAAAAAATAGATTTTTTGTAAAAAAAAGTTGTCATTTTAAATTCCCCCCCTGTGGGCAGGTAAAAACTCAGATTTATAAAAAAAAATATACCAAATGATAGGTAATGACATCGTGCATCTATAAAAAAAAAATTATATTGATATGTTCATTTTTGAAAAAGTTACGGCAGTTTTTAGTAAAAAAAAATGAAAAAATTTCGAAAATTAGCGATTTTTAAATTCGTAATTTTTTTGTAGGTTTCCCCCATTTACGGGGAACGAGGGAATTTTTTTCAATTTTTGAGGGTAATGTCTTCGACAAGATACAATTTGTGATCTTTTGACGTATCATTGAAAGAAATCGGTTCGGTGAGAGCTGAGAAAAAGTGGTAACAGACACAAAAAAAACACATTTTAGTAAAACCAATACCTTCTCAGCTTCGCATCGAAGCTAAAAAAAAATGTTTAGATGTATTCATCTTTCAAAAAATAAGAAAAATGAGTTTAAAAAATGTCAAAATATACCATTTTTAAAAATAATAATTTTTGAGGGGATTTCCACCATTTACAGTGAACAAGAAAAATATGTTCAATTATTAAAAGCAATGTATTTAACTAAATATCATTTGTGACATTTTGACCGATTGTTAAAACAAAACAGTGAAAAATGAATTACTAATAATTGGTTCTGTGTTTGATTTATAATACTATTTAATCAGTTTGATTATTTTTATTTCGAAAATTACTAAGTTTCTTTGGCTTATTTAAATAGTTAAAAATAATTGTAATTTTACTGTGTTATAATGCTGAAACTCTGGCTAGATACGGAAAGCTAGTGCCTTTTTTTACATTCTTTATAATTTAAATGTTTTTATTCAGTATATTTGAAAGATAATAATACTTTTAATTAAACTTCATGTAATAATGAATTTTTTTAGATAAATAGGTTTCAATATTATTATAAATGTCAATAACTACATATTTTTCAATAATTAAAAAAAAATGTTATGCTCAACTTATAACATTTCATTGTTAGACTGTAAAATGTCAAAGTAACATACCCTTAATACTAGATCTAACTAAAAATTTGCTTAAAGAATAATGTCATACTGAATTTGAATTCAATGAGCATAAAAATTAATCAAAGAATATTTCATTAATATGTTAATATTAATATGACAAAAAATTGTTTCGCTTTGGGGGTTGTTGGAACATAAACACCTCCTTCCCTATATTCACCACTGATTTAAAGAATATGTCAAAGGTGTTTTAAGAAAGCTAAATTAAATTTAAGGGATTATTGCTGAGCATGAATAAAATACATGAAATGATGGCTAGATGACTTAATGAATTGTTAAATCAAGAATTATTTTTATAAAAATTCAACATTTTATAAAATTTATTATTTTAAAGAAGTCAACTAATTATATTAATTAACTTATTTTATGATTTTTGAATGAAATTATATATTTATAATAATTATTGGTTAAAAAGAATTTGCTAATTTTTGTGGTAAATATTTATTTTAGAGCTAACACAGATTACAGGAGTAGCAGCTATTCTAAGGTTTCCTATGCCAGAATTAGAAGATTTTGAAGATGATGATGATTCTAATGACAATACTGTATTACAAACTTGTTGATCTTTTTTTATTATCATACCTCACCTACACTCACTTTTTTTTTCAAAAAGTTGCTAATTTAAAATATACTTTTCTAAAAATGTGTCTCTTGTTCTTAAATTATATCTTTTTTATTCAAAATTTGAATGATAATTTTCATATAGTGATTGAAACTTAAATTGAGCAGTCATTTAGTTAATACTATTTTTTTATCATGATGTAAAACTTGAAATATTATTTGTTATGTGATATTATATTGTTATATTAGTTTTATTGATATGAATTATAAACTTTTAATTCTTTCCAAACAGTATTTCTATTAAATATTAAATTGAAATAAACTTTTTTTGACAATATAATACAAACTAGTATTTTGAGTACAAATGCTCAAATAACTAATACTACACTCCAAGTCTCCTTTTACTATAAATTAAATATTTTTCACAACCACATATATTTTGCATTATGTATAGCCAGGTTTTTTTTCTGGATCCTTGTCAATTACTATAACTGAAAAATAAATTTTTAACATTTTTGGACTCTGCAATGAGTCCGAAACATCAGAACACAACTACAACCATGGATAAATCCTTAAGCATTTCAAGCAACAAGACAATCCATGAAAGCTTTAACACATACATAAGTATTTAACATTTATGTTATTTTGTAATTTATATTATATCCCAATAATTATAAAAATACTAAATCTGAAATTGTAATTTTAGTGAAATTATACTCGATTCATGACAATTATTGTAACTACGTTTGTATTATTTTGTCATCTGACCTATCGTTTACCAAACATAACTCTTATGTTCAATAAAGCTTTAAATACCTTTGGCTTTCTTAAAAGAAATTTTGAAGAATTCACTAAACCTACTTGTCACTACTTGTAAATATAGTTATATACAATCAATATTGTAATATGTGTCAATAATTTGGTCTCTTCATCGATGAATTTAATTGAAAAAATTGAAAGTCTACAATTAAAGTTTTTAAAAATGCTAGCTACCATGAGAGATGACATAGACCTGGTTATTATTGTTTCTAGCAATAATGTAAAAAGATTTACCAATTGCTTATATCTTATGGCTCTATAAACTGATAAATAATATGATACATTGTTCTGAGTTCCCATTAATGTCCCTGCTGTTTTTTTTAAATCTATACCAAAATTTTATGTTCCTTTTCATTATAATTATTATTATACCTGTAGTATTCACTCTGGTAAATTGTTTATTAAAAATAAGTAATGAATTTAGTCACAAAACATTAATTTTTTACATTTTATGTATTATAAGTAAATTTGGGTCTTGTGCATACTTATAAATTTAATTTTAAATGTTAATGATATACTTTTTAAATAATTTTGTGCATTATATTAATAATAAATAAGTAAAATAATAAAATAAATAATATTTATTGTTAAGAAAATGTAATATATTCAGGTAAATTTAATTCAATAAATAATGAACAATCATCACAAGAATACAGTATAGGTTTTGGTGAAGAAATATTGATGATTTCTGATGTCGACACAAAGTATATTTCCACCACATCGACATCTGTATAATAGTGTTCCATCATCTATATTTTTTTCTAAGTTTTGTAATTATAAAGATTCAAATATTGTAACTTATGTATCAATATCATTTTGTTCTATTTCTTCATCATATTCCTTTTTTAATTCTGGATTTTTTAGTATATTCTAAGCAACATTCAGTATTTGATAATTGTATTACAGTTTTATCTGGATAAATTTTTATAATTTTCTTTAATTGTTTCGTGAGATGATGTTTTATCAAATTCCAGTATTTGATACAAATTTTGTTTATTCTATAATTAAACAATTTTAAAAATATAGAAATAAAAAACTATTTCAAACCTTAATATTATTTCTATTTAAAATAACACGTCTAAATGTAATTGATGTTCTATTTTCACGTTGAAATACATCAGACTCATTAGAAGTATTTATAATGTCAAATTTATGTGGTGTTATACCATGTGTCCAATAATTTCTACATTCACCAGACATTAATAAAGATTTAGATTTTAATGATGTACTACAATGATTCATATCATTTTTATATTCCATTACCACATCAGAATCCAATGATAAAGAAAGAATATAATCATCAAATACTCCCCTAATATCTATATGACTAGGAATACCTGTAAAACCAAAAATGTTTTTAATTTAGAATTTTATATAATATTTTTATATTAAAAAATAAATCTTAAACAAAATAATTATCAAATATAGTATTACCGAAAAGTAAAGTTTATAAATAAATTAAGCAATGTTTTTAAAAAGCATTTAATATAAATAAAATATTTCCTTATAATGACCATAAAACCACAAAGATGATACACTTTAAACACATATTCTTTAATTCAAATATTATAACATGAATACTTATCATACACAGAGCAAGATAAACTGTTAAAAGTACAATATTAATTTACTTTTTTTAAATTATCTAATTATTATAAAATTAACTTGCAAATTGTTGAAGTTGCATATATTCAGGAAATAAATTGAGCTGCTGGGAATTTAAAAGTTTACCCATTTAAATACTTTGCCAGTAAAATATTTTACTAACAGAGTATATTGCATTAATATTAAAGGATAACTTTGCTGTAGAGATATTGGGCTGAGATATATAGTGATAGTATACCAGTCTGATCACCATGGGCATAATTTAGGCTAAATTTTAGGGGTAACAATATGCCAAAAAGTACTGTTGCAACCCCAGTTATTCAGGAATTGCATTCATGACTTCTTATGATCCCATAACTTATACCTCTACTCAGTATTTGGTTACTTAATTAAATTTTTTAAGTAAAAATATATTATATTTTTGCCACACACTAACTTTAATAAATTGTAAATTTTTAATTTATCTAAACATATAAGTAAAACTTCTCTTTCTTCAGAAATGTACAATCCTTTCACTAATATACCTATTCAAAATACCTTATACACATTTTAAGATAAAACATTAAAGTTTTTAAAAATAACTTCATATAATACTACAAGCCTACCCTGTTCAGGTAAATAACGATTAATTGTTATCTGATTTGGATACCAATTTAATTTTAAAATAATGATATTTAACACAAATTCAAGCTCTTTTGGAATAGGATCACAATAACTATTCTGTTTAACACCATTGTTATCATAATCAAATTCATAACCATAATGTTTCACTTGTCGATTTTTCATACAACCTATAAAATTTATAAATTAATAAAAAGACTATATTTTTATTTAAAAATAATAATACTTGAATTTATCCATTGTTCATTTAAAAAATTAAGCAAAAAAATTTCTTGCTTATCTGTAATAAAATTATCAATTATTTCTAAACCGAGTGGTAAATAATAAATAATTTCTTCATTTTTTGGCACTATAAAAAATATATATAATCAAATTAAATGAATTACAAAAAATTAATAATCCTAATTTACCTGATTCTGTGTAAATTAAATACATAAGTTGCATTTTTTTTACCATTAATATTATTTAATGCTTATTTGAACCATCAACATTAAAATAGCTAACAAAGCAATAAGATTTGAAAGGCAACATAACAACATTTTCTAATGTTCCAAACTGAAAATAATTTCACTAATTGACTTCTACCAAGTTCATCAACTAAGACACGGTTACATATCATTATATTCTAAAAAAGAAAATGTATATGACTTTNTAACATTGTTTCCGAAATACGTATCCGCGACTTTTCATTAATTTTTTTGTGGCTTTTGAGTTTAATATTTTTAATATTTTTTAGTTTTTTTAAATTAATAATATTTTTAATATAGTTTTAATTTTACTTATATGACTTTACAATAAAATTTAGTGCTGTATTATTTTAAGTTTTTAATATCGTTTTAACTTTAACTACAACAGATATTATGATATGATGCACTCAGATTAAAGTAGAAGGTACTGGTACAAGTATCTCGCACAACATAATTCCTAAATTCGACACTGACAGTGACATTTTAGAGAATAAATAAGTCAAGTTCAATACTAAAAGCAAAATAACTACTCTTTGAAGTGGATTTTTTATGAATAATACTATTTATCATTAATTACCAAACCCAACTGCATTTAAAAAATAGTATTTCACAATTTTAAGTTCAATTTTTTCGGAATCAATTTTTTGTCACATTGATCTGTTCAACTTTAAATGTCTCTTATACATTATACGTCTATGAATACATCAAAAAAAATCATACTAATATGTTATTTAATCTCATTTCTGTATTAATGTCAATTAATCAAACTAACAGTTATTAATTTTATTGAGAAAAAACTGAGACAAAGTGAAGAATAAAAATTTGGAAAAATTACAACTGTTGAAAATTGTAGTTTTACTACTATTACTAAAACAGTGTCATCAAAAATTATTTGCTTAACTAGCAAAAATAAATATTATAAAATTTTCTTTAATGAATAATAGCGTTAGAATTTATGTATTAATTAATTATTGATTATTACTTTATAATAAAGATTTTTAAATTAAATAATATATATATATATATTTATATTTAATTTTTTATTACTTTTTAGATTTCTTTTCTACATTAATTATGATGAAGTATAATATAATAAACAAAATATTATTCGTAAAATATAAAAATAAAAACATATTTGTTCTTATTAAATATATTTTAGCAAAATGTTATCTTATCGCTATTTATTGAAATAATATCAAATTTCAAATAAGTACAAAAATATATTAAAAAATTAAATTGAAAAAGAACAATTAAAAATATTTATGGAACAAAAAATCTTTAAATAAAAAAAATATATGCATCGTGTAATCATTAAACATCTAATGACAAAAATATTCATAAGATCTTAAATAAAAAAAAAATTTCAAAAAAAAAATTTTTATGATTAGAACAATTTATAGCACATAAAAAATATTATAGAAAAAAGTAATGAACAAAATGAATGACAGACATGAAACTATTCATTGAATTGAAAATTCTTGAACTAAAGTTCACAAAAATTATTACCAACTTGAAAGTTGTTTATAATACAACACTGTTGATTTTTCAACATTTGTAAGTCATCCGCAGAGTATAGTTGAATAAAAATTTGTTAAAATTAAATCTATAGTCTCTGTGGAAAAAAATGTAAGAGTTATAAGGTAAATTGCTTGGTCATGATTTATCAAAATTAAATGTTAAGATGAGTTCATCAATTGAATCTCGATCTTTTTGATCGTTCTTTTTTTAGAAACTTTCTTTGTAGTGCTATTCGTAGATAACTTTTTATTTTTTGTAGGATTATCAGTTGGTGTATCAAAATTATTTATGCCATCAACATTGTTAGATAGTTCGATGTTATTTACTATTTTTCTAGTTCGACTGTATTAATTGTTTTATTAAACATATAGGAGTCTATAATTTTTTGCGGAATTCTTTTGAGCAACACAAACGGATCTATAAATACCAAAATTATAAATTAATTTTTTGATAACAATTTTATACAAAATAAATCATTTTTATATTAAAAAGTAATTATATTATTATAAAATGACGAAATCTTTTTTATAAACACCATTGGAACTTTAAAAAAGAATATATAAAAATTAATATTGCTACGATAATTTTATAAGAATTCGTATGTTATTTTCAAAACAAAAATGAAAAATATTTTTAAAGTAATGTGGTTTTGCTATCCGCTTAAAAGACTCAATGTAGAAGGGTTACCGAGGAACTCCTTTAGGGTTTCTTGTCATAAACACAACTAGGAAACAAGAAGGTGCTAAGCCTCTCAATTGACAAAATTACCCACAACATATTTTTAATTTACGTATGTTTTTATATGTCTTATAACTTATAATACATTTTGTTGAAATTTTATTTTCTTCACAATTTTTAAATAGCCATTATTCAGCCTTATCTTACAAAAAATTTTGTGAGTCGATGATAATTTTAGAACAAGTATATACTAAGTTATTATTTCAACGAAATTATTATTTGATCAAAAATAATAAAAGATGTCTAACCTAGTTGGACATCTTGTACAATTGTTTGGGGTAAGAAGAAAATCCAATTAGCACCCTCCATAATGTTAGTTAAATGTTAGATTATTTTATGGTTTAAGTGTTATATGTATAATTAAGTGACTTAATTAGACTAAATTTAATTATTAAAAACTAAAGCTCTATGAAATATACTTCATTCATTTATTACTTGAAACATTAAAACAAAATATAAAAATACACTAATACAAAATTTAATAAAATATATTATTTATATATTTTTAATAATAGCATAAAATGAATGATTGATTAGCTGTTACTATCAAACTATTTTATATATATTCTAACAGTGGAATTTGATTTTTTTTTTTATAAGAAAAATAAAGGCGTCATTTGGGTGGAGACAACTAGGCTTTTTCCCCAGTCTAAATTTTCAATACATATTGGGGCCGTATAGTGTTTTAAATCGCAATATTAACAAGACACAAAATATCAAGAATGTGGAGCAGCTGACATACTTTATCCACTCATTCTATGCACATGTGTATATTATTATAAAAAAAATGACACTTACTCATATGATTGACTTTGTCGGATGGTATTTCCACATTAATTGGATTTGATTTGTTTTCAGTAGATATCTCAACGTTTGACTTGTCAGGAATTTTATTCTTACGATTTAAATTAAGAGTATAAGAATTATTTATTTTGTCTTCATATTTATTTGTTAGTCTAAGTTTTTTACGTGAATCGTTAACGTCGTCTAGATGGGGTCTCTTCTTTGATAGAAACGTCTTGGAAGTTTCAGGCTTTTGAATCCTTGAATCCTCGTCTTCATCAAATGTTAAAAGATCTTTATAAAATTTTATAATTTTACGTTTATTTGGACGTTTGCCAACATAATGAGGATTTGTACGTATGTTGATGTTGATGACAGAAGTTCTATTCTTTTTTCGGTACATCTTGTGGGTTTTAGAATTGTTAATTCTTACTTTTTCTTGTTCACCAGAATTATTTACTATTTCGTCTGCATTAGTGTTTTTACTAGACATATAGTAGTCTATAATGTCTTGTGAAATTCTTTCGATCAATACAATCGGATCTATTAATTCAAAAATTATTAATATTTTATATAAAATATATTAATATAAAATAAATTAATCTTACTCATATGTTTAACAGCTTCGGATGGTATTTCCACATTAATTGAATTTGATTTGGTTTTAGTAGATATTTTAGCATTTGACTTATTGCGAGTTTGATTTTTACGTTTCAAATTTATCGCATCAGAATTTTTTACTTGTCTTTTATTTACAGTTGTTTGTTTTTTAGTAATTTTCTTAACATGGCTAACATTAAGTGTCTTTTTTGATTGAAACGTCTTGGAAGTTTCAGGCTTTTGAATCCTCGAATCCTCGTCTTCATCAAATGTTAAAAGATCTTTATAAAATTTTATAATTTTACGTTTATTTGGACGTTTGCCAATATAATGAGGATTTGAACGTATGTTGACGAGAATGGAATTAGATTTTCTATGTCCTGTTTTTAGATGGCTTATAGGCTGTTTGGTTTTGTTTTTCATGTTTAACTTTTCGTGCAGAGATATAAATTAAATATCTGACTACAAAAAATCAAATATTAAAGAGATTTTGGGCAACTTTTGTGGGGTTTTCGGGCTTAAGAAAATGTCCGCGTCACACCTAAATCGCCCGTGACTGTTAAAAAATATTAACTTAAACAATATAAATTTGTAGTCATGGAAACAAGAAGAAAAATTTATATAAAAACAAATAAATTGCAATAAAATTGAAAAATACATTGGCCAATAAAACTTTTAGCCAAATAACTTAAAATTATTATGTCCATTTATTTCAAAGGACATTTTTAATTTCGATTCGAAACTGAAAAAGTATTAATTTTACCATAATGTATTTAATTTTTTTTTTTTTGTCTATCACTATTTTTTCTCAGTTCTCACTGGATCAATATTTTTCAACGATATATCAAGAGATCACAAATAGTATCTAGTTTAGGATATTACTTTCAAAAATAAAAAATTTTCCTTAGTTTCCCGTAAGTAATCAAAATTTCCCCAAATAATTAAAATTGGTATATTTCATAATTTTATTAAATTTTTTTCTTAAAACTGCCAAAACCTTTTTTAAAAATGAATAAATCAGAATTTTTTTGTTTTTTAAATAAACACCTTGAATATTTTTCTTCTTTTGGGTATAATATTATTATTTAAAACTGGACCATTAACCTGCTCAAAGGCGGGTATTAAAAATAGCAATTTTTACACTAAAATTAAAATTTTTCAGCTTAGGGTTTAAAATTGTTCCGGAAATACTGTGTCCTTTAAACATATGTTAAATAAAAGCTTATGTTACGTACTATAAATTAAAAATTAAGATTTGTCCCAAACTAGATAGACCTAGTTTCACCTATTATTTCTTCCTCTAAAATCTTGTTGAATTTCATTTCACTCTACATATTTTTGGTTATTTTTAAAATATTTATATATTATAAAAATTAATTAAATTCTGAATATTTCAATTGTAAAAACATTTTAAACACCATGAGTTATAGAATAGATTTAAGATATAATAATAAGAGTTACATAGAAATGATCACTAAAACTTCTATTTAAATGATTTATTACGATAAAAATACAAAAAAAAAAAATATAGTGATTTTAACGA